TAAAGGCTGCATCTTTTGTGGCGGCCTGTTTTGCCCCCAGGCCGTCTTTAGCAGGTGAAACCGGTTGAGAAGGCGGCGTATTGCCATTCTCGATATTATTGTCGGCCATGATGGGTTTTAGCGGCCCACCAGGACGAACACTTTAGCTTTAGTCTTTACTTTTTGTTAGATTACATAGGAAAAAATTAAAAAATAAACAGGAAGAAATAAACTCAAACAGTCATAAACAACTCAAAAGATAAAAAGAAAAATGAACAAACAAAACAATAAAAAGATCAAAACGGGCTGGGAAAAAAAAAGGAGAAAAATAAAAAGGAAAAACAAAAGAAAATTAAAGAGAATTAAACAAAGGCAAAAACAGAAAAACAAACAAAGGTAACAAAAAGTTTCACTAAAAAGGCTTAACTTATCGGTGTACTATGTATCCTAAAATGGACTCGTCTATACTCCGTTTAACTTTTTGTGTCGGTTCCAAATATACCCAAAATAAGGGGGGCTGTTACGGTTTTTTGGGTATATATTATATCCGTAACTAGTGAGCGAGTCAGAATGACTTATTCCCCTTTATAATCGACCAATAGTAGGTTGACCAATCAGAAGCCGCCCAACATTGTATTCATAGTGTATAAAGGCGGCCATCTTGTTTCCTCCTACCAGAAGGACCAAAGGTGACCAGGAGAAGGATGAACTACACTCTGCTGTGATATCCACTGCGAACCTTCACTACGCGTTGCTACTGTCTCCGAAATATTCACTGCCAACCCTTGGATTCAATACTCAAGGACGACCGTCATGGAAATGTCTAACATTATTTGGATAAGTAATTATTGTTGTTAAATATTCAAGAGTAATATAATCTAAATCTGCAATTAAATTTAGCTTCAAACTTCAAATTAAAAGTGAATATTGAAAATTAGAAAGTCTAATTTCAGTTTAAAAAATGACGACTGTCGGTAAACAGTCGCTAAAAGTCAATGGAAGTAACTATTAATTTCTTTTTTGATTAAAGTAGTTATTGATTAAATAAAATAGATAAAATTGATTAAATAAAATAGATAATTAGAAAATTATAGGTTTTCTTGGACTTTTTCAGAATCTATTTAATCAAACAAACTACTTTCCAGTGTGTTATCATATATGAACTCTCCGATTCTAGACGCTTTTATCTGATACCCTGTCGTAACGCAGCTCAAAAAGTGAACTCCAACACCTCGTGTTACTCTTTGATGGCACTCATTGACGTTCGAAACGAAGGCTAATGATGTTCTGATCCTGGCGAACAAATTCTAATGTCATTTGAAAGCAACTAATTCTTTTTTATTGGAAACAAATGAAACGTTTCCGACGGGGCCCGAGAATTCGTCCCTTATTTTCAAAGGACTCTACAAAGAAGATTACAATTTCGAAATCTCTGTGGTTGGCGATCACTGCTGCCACTACGGAGTGCAATTTGAATTCAATCTTAATTCTTTTATATACCGTGACCTTAGAGTTGTGGGAATCTTGGCTCTGCACAGCATCATTTAGTTTGTAGTTCTGAGGAAGTTCGGAGTTTTTCTTTTTATTTTAATGTCCTGACAATCCTTTAAAAAACAGCGTTATACGCTGTTATTCTTCTGTCCTTCTAATATTCAATATATACTCAGAATGTTTCCAATCACCCAAGTACACTTTCCTCATTCTGTCGTTTGGAAATTCTAATTCTCTCTTGTATTCAATATATACTCAGAATGTTTCAAATCACCCAAACACCCTTTCTTCATTCTGTTGCTTGGAAATTTCAATTCTCTCTTGTATTCAATATATACTCAGAATGTTTCAAATCACCCAAACACCCTTTCTTCATTCTGTCGCTTGGAAATTTCGGTTGTCCCTTTCTGATTTTAATTATGCCTTACTATCTGTTTTCTTTGAAACTTTTTCGCTGCTCACAAGTTCGGCCTATATTATTCTCAGCATCCTTCTGTTGCTTCATGTCTCATCTACTTCTGTGTGGAGATTGTCCAAAAATGTACTGCCATATTACGTAAGAGTTCCGCAAAATATTTTCATCATAAATAAATATTCATTTTACGTAATTCTACGTTTAGGTTTAATAGAGGTAAGGCGGAGTAACGGATAGCGGCTCGGATTGTGGAATGGAAGAGCCGTGTTCGAATTCTCGTCGAATATATTACATTCACTTGCGTGCTAATGCCCTTAAGAAAAGGTAAGATTCATCTCCCCCCCATAGCGGAAGAGCCCGAGTGGTAATTGGTCTTGGACAACTTTTGATACAAAAGCTGATCCTCCCGATTGGGGTTGTGCAGCAGGCTGACAAACCTACTCACTTAAAAACTGGCTTCTTATAAAAACCGTAACGATATCTTGCGGCCCAATGTTTCTTAAGCAATTCAAAAGTATCATTCATATATATATATATATATATATATATATATATTGAATATGATTAAAAAATGCATCGAATAAAATTCGGGTATTCGATCGTATAATTTTCCAACTAAAATCTCGATGAAACTTATATGTTTGGATTCGTGTATATATATATATATATATATATATTGATCGTTATCACTTCAAGCAAGGCAGTACAGCCATTAGTACAGAAGGGGTTACAGGTATTGGATGAATTAGGAGCAGAAACATTAGTAATGAGGATAATGTAAAAAGAACAACCAGGAGTACATTAGAGAGCGATTGACATTTCATTTCAATTTTTTTATTATAATAATAAAAAGACACAAGCCAAAAATATTCTTGTCCATTTCCTCTTCTTTTCCGCCTGTCTGTTTCTATTCATTTTGTTCTTTTACAGGTAAAAATTATATGAGAATAATATATATATATATATATATATATATATATATATATATATATATATATATATATATATATATATAATATGCATGCTTAACTTTTGGAAGTCATTTTTTCTTTTATTAAAATGCGCCATCGATTTCGGTATCAAAATATCTACCGTCTGTTAAAACATTTTCATAGATATTTGAATTTTTGCACCTGTCTTATTTTGGTAACCTCAGATTAAAATTTGCAGGTTGGGCTCTTCATTTTGCTAACAATTGATCAGGTGTCTCCAATTCGGAAGGCCTCTTTTGCTGATGACCAGATTTGGATCCTCTCTAAAACTTCTGAAACAGAAAATGCGAAAATCAGGATTATTCTCTGGATTTAAACCAAGGGCTACTGGAAATTCCTCGGCCCACCAAGATTTTCCAAAAATCTGAAGTTTGATATGTGGGTCATTCTGAAAGACATATGACACCCGCATTCACGCACAGACATACAAAAATATATACACAAACAAATACACAAACGCACAGACACCCTAACAATAATGCCCACACTAATACTCACATACTAAAGCGTGTGTATTCTTACTGTATTTAAAAAAAAAAACCCGACTATTTAGCACCAAAACACTCTTAAAATAGCTTCAGTCTAACACGCTGTAATTTTGTAAGCATGACGTTTTACCCTACCCCACCGGCCTTTCGAACGTGGGTAGAGATTTATCCCTTGTTTCCTGTTTATGATAATCTTTCCGGTTCATTTTAATGTCTTTTCATGTCGCTTTCATTCCCAATAGCCTCCTTGAGTCTTAGCAGAAATGTCGCCTTGCTTGAGGTGAATTGATTAAAGATAAATATATAGATAGTCGTATATTAAAGCTAGTATACATTAGTATACCTTACTGATACACCATGCCGTTAAACTTTGCTGATATAACGCACTGATTTCTAAAGTAATATATTTAACTTTCAAACAAAATGTAACATTTCAAAAAGGATTTCTTCCTGTTTCCTAGTAAATTTGAATATCAATATTTTTCTAAAATGTGATGTACTTCTCAAATGTGCATCTGTAACGATGACTCATAGGAGTCGAAAGTACGCAGATGACATGTATTTTGGATATTTTTCTATCAACAGATACACATTTGAGAAGTACATCACATTTTAGAAAAATATTGATATTCAAATTTACTATTAAACGATTAATATCATTACTAAACATAAAATATCTATTTATTTTTTTTCATCCTTTTCATCCATATCAACTTTCCTTCCTCCATATATGTATATATTTATATGAAGAAATATAGTCTTAGGGTGTGCTATATTCATGGGATAAAGTGCTCAGTATCAGAGATAGAGCGTGTGTAAATATAAAAGTGAACATAGAAATCAACACTTAGAGGCGACAGTCTCTTTCATGCTAGACGATTGCATCTAGCATGAAACAGACTGTATATTCAGCACCTCGATTTCTTCGTAGATGAAATTTTAAAAACACGCACACACACATACATACATACACACGCACATACACACATGCATACATACACACATACGCACATGCATACATATATATATATATATACATACACACATACATACATACACTAGGTTGAAGCCAATGGTGATTTTATTGAATAAATCTACTCTACTCTAGTATCTACTCTAAGATAATTTTGTGTAATTTTGGTAATCATAACTGTTAAAATATGTCAGTTCTATTTTCATTTTTGGGTAATTTAGAAGAAATGTATCCATCGCAGGCTATATATATATATATATATATATATATATATATATATATATATATATATATATACGGATAGAAATTTAAAAGGAAGTCAGCCACGCCTAAAAGGTATGAACGAAAAAGTGCTCAATACAAAATTCAAAATCGAATATGTAGAGCTAATATATCTAAGAAAAGGCTAAAAATGCCAGCCAGCTGCAATAACCAAGGTTTCTGAGCTGTAAGCTCTTCTTAAGAAAGTGGAACGATCCTTCCATTTGCCTGAGGATACCTTACGGTCGAAACCCAGGTCGTGAAGTTGGTTGGTATTTAGGCTTTTTGATATATATATATATATATATATATATATATATATATATATATATATATATATATAAAGAAAAACAGACCACTTTAAGGTACCATTATAATATACATATGACGTTGGTATTATAATGGTACCTTAAAGTTGTCTGTTTTTATTATAATGGTACCTTAAAGTTGTCTGTTTTTTATTATAATGGTACCTTAAAGTTGTCTGTTTTTCTTTTAAATATTAGCTCTGCATTTACATTGAGCTCTCAGGATTTCATCCTCCTTGGTATTACATATACGGATTACCAAGTTCTTCACAACATTATATATATATATATATATATATATATATATATATATATATATATATATATATATATATACCGGACCCAATAATAGCTTGGTAGTGAAGTTTATGATTTCTCGGTTTTCTGTGAATTGATAAAAGTTTTCCAAGCTGGTTTGCTCAATACGGCAGCACCATTTTTAGGTTTTTATTATTCTATGTAACCTCTTTTTTTATTTAGTTTTCAGTTTTTGTATGACACTCGCTAATAGCTTCTATACTCTCTAAGAACATTAGAATTTGCAAAATGTCTCAATAATGAAGAAACGTCTCATCAATGTAAGTGATAAAGGCACCTCTCCTCAAGTCATTTCGGAGGTTTTAGGTCGTCAGCTAGAATCGGTTAGACGATTCCTAAGGAACCCTTCGCCAAAAAAGAAACGAACCGATTGTGGTTACCTCCAAGACTGCGACAGCTACGGACTAAAAGAATATTAGGCACAAGTTGCGTGGGAAACAAGCGAAGCCATTTTCACCGCCGCTGGACTTCATCATGTACCGAAAACCATCAGAAATCACATCCGCGGGACCATGCCATCCGTGCGAGCTCCCCTGAAACTATTCATTTATTACCCAGTCACAGGAATTTTCACTGGACTCGAAAATGCATGACGTTGGAAATAAGTTGAGTTCTGTTCACTGACCAGAATAGGGAAAATCTTGACGGACCTGGTGTTTGGACAAATGGCTGGATCTATATCAGCGATGAACGTTATCAATGTTTACGACGTCATCAACAGCTTGGAGGAGTCTGCTGCAATCTCCTGCGGGTGGTCTTGGATTCCTGGCTAGATGACATGTCGCTGTCACTTCTAAGGATGCATGACAAGACAAAGGGCCAACGCAGCATTGCTAGGCTCTTACGGCATGGAAGATGAAAGGTTAATGTCGTGCCCACCAGACTCTTAGGATCTCAGCACTATCGAAGATATTTGGTCCGACGTTAAACAAGATTTATTTTCCTATAGACGTTAATTTACGTCGAAAGTTATGTTATGGTCGAACACCAAACCTGCAGCAGAAGTAGAGCAACGTGCTTCTATAAAGAAATTAACAGATTCTGCAACTAATAGGATTTTTGAAGTTATCCATCAAAACGGTGGTCATATAGCCAAATAATACTTTTTGTCGATAAATCTTGTATTGTAATTATGGTTTTCTGTTAAATACGCATTCACCGGATGCTTCATATATATGATTATCCTTCATTTTATGAAAAATGTTTAGATGGGCTGTTTTCATTCAAAAGCTATTAGCCTGGTTCACTCACTATCTATCTATCTATCTATCTATCTATCTATCTGTTTGTTCATATCTACCTATCTATCTATCTCTCTATCTATTTATCTATGTCTCTAACTATCAATCTATCAACGTATCTGTTTGTTCATATCTATCTATCTATCTATCTCGGGCTTTTCATATCTATCTATCGACCTGAGCCTGTATCTATCTATCTAGCTAGCATGCTATCTGTCTAAGTCTGTTCATATCTATCTATCTATCTATCTATCTATCTATCTATCTATCTATCTATCTATCTATCTCAGGCTTTTCATACCTTTTAATATATCTATCTATCTCGGTCTTTTCATATCTATCTATCGATCTATCTGAGACTGTATCTATCTATCTAGCTAGCACGCTATCTGTCTCAGTCTGTTCATATCTATCTATCTATCTATCTATCTATCTATCTATCTATCTATCTATCTGTTTATTCATATCTATCTATCTATCTATCTATCTCGGGCTTTTCATATCTATCCATCGATCTGAGCATGTATCTATCTAGCTAGCTAGCACGCTATTTCAGTCTGCTCATATCTATCTATCTATCTCAAGTCTTTTCGTATTTATCTATCTTTCTATCGCAGTCCAAATCTATCTATCTATCTATCTATCTATCTATCTATCTATCTATCTATCTATCTATCTATCTCAGGTTTTTCATACCTTTTAATCTATCTATCTATCTATCTATCTATCTATCTATCTATCTATCTATCTATCTCAGGCTTTTCATACCTTTTAATATATCTATCTACTTATCTATCTATCTATCTAACTATCTAAAACCTGGAATGGAAATCCGTATTTAAAATTGTTAGTAACTTTAATTAGTGTTGGTCGATTTTCATAAACAAGTTTTATTTTGAACAGTATAATGGTAGCAATACAGCACCGTTTGAAAATTCTATTTTTCGACAATTTCTTTTAATCTGGATGTTGAAGAACATGAACACTGCGCCAGATTCTTTGCACTTATTCTACGGCCTGCCACATGAGATGTA